CGAACGATCTCTAGGCACGATCTCTAGGCACTTGATGCACAGTAGTCGTTTCTTCTTGAAATCAACAATGTTTGTCAKTTTTGTATTTATTTATTTGAAGTATGTGCTATTTGTAGCAATTTAGATGATCAAGCTATGACAGAAAGCTATGTCAGAAATTTTTATAGCGCAGTATAATATGTATATATTAATGTTCATTCATTCTCGTCTACTCATTATCTTATCTTTATTTATTTTATTTTTTTAATTGAACACATTCAATTTATCTCAAACCGAATCATTTCTTTTCATAAGAAAGTTATACTATAAAATGACTTTCATTGTCAAAGTACACACTATCTCTTCCTGCTCGACGCCTAGTTAATCGGATAACGGCGTTATTGATGAACTTTGCCGAAAGTGTTGCGAAATATTATTTTAATAGCTTCGTGGAGAAGAAATTATGCGGATATCTTTGTATTGTCATTGAAAATCTATGGTCTTTTTAAGCTCAATTGACATCACTTTGCTCCCAACTATCTTACTTACGTGCCTCTTTTTGGAACGAGCTGGATGTTGCATCGATCTTTGGGAAATTTTATCTGAAATCTCTACCTCTGAAAGGGATTCTTATAGGATTTATCTTCGGCAAACTTCGGGGTTTGACTTAAATGGTTTGAGAGATATATATGTATCTACATTAAACCTATTAGAGCGCGTGCTCACGCTTTAGGTGATACATACCGGTTGTATGTTGGGCGAAAAAAATTATTATAGACTATAAAAAGATTGAAAAATAAAAATTGTTAATCTTACTTTAAAAAGTGTTAATAAACGAATAACTAAAGTTCTTTGTCAACACATTTAATAAGATAGAAGAAGAATTCAATTATTTTTTAGAAACACCTGAAATTAATTAACAACTTTTTTTAGATCCACCAAAAGTCCCAAAAGCTTTCAACATACATATAAAATTAAAATAAATATTTACAACAACTAATTCCTCTTGTATTTACCAAATATTTATTATTAATGWCTTCTGTTGCATCCGGCTGCTCCGTCCGGATTCGTCTGCTTGATTGCTGCTTCTATCCACAAAATACGTGTCTAATTCGCAGGCGATAATTAAGTTACGCTTTCATGCCACTTGAGACAATGCTAATAGTATGGAGAATGTAAATTTTACCACTTGAGATATATGAATTTGCTGTTTAGAATACATTTTAAATGACAAAGTCCTAATTAATGCTAATTACTGACGGCCACACATTTGGAATACACTTGTCAGCGGCTTGAGTTTATATTAATAGTGCAATTACATTTTCAGATCTTGAAAAAACTGSTTGCTGTTTCTGGAAAGTAAGCTGTTGTAAAAAGATCTAGCTACTTATGATATATGTATAACTTTGTAAGCTGATAACTGATATTTTTGATAACAACTTGAACAAGATTYTCTTACCGTAAATAATTAGAATATATGGAAGTTAATTTGCTCATTTACTGATAAATAAACTTTCTCATGCCAGCACAGTTTGGCGTGCTTTGACGAGAAGTGTCAGCTCTTATAACTATCATATTGTCTGCTCAATACAATAGGCACGATATTTCCACTACATTCAATGGAGTTCGTCATTACTCACGGTGGCGTGGAGCTGTTTTCCATTGTACTTATACCATTTCTATGATATTTCCAGTAACTTTTAATATCAGAGGTTTCTTCAACTGCTCCCGGATGCAGGAGCATTAGTAATTGGTGCTTTTACGTAACACCAAGTGTAGCTGAAGTATTCACCACGGAACCTTAGTACAACTTAGAGCCATCACTTTTGCCAGCGGGAATAATATGTCGGATTTGAACTGAGAACAGTTTGAAAATCTATCGTTATTTATGATACTTGTTATACAAATCTTAATTTTTGTAATCATATGATAGGAGATAAAAGATTTCGCTTTTGGGACCTTTTTTGATATTGAGGGAGCTTTCAGTAACGTTCTGCCGGAAGTAGCCGTTACTGTTCACGACGTTCTTAGGGCTGAATCAACCCTTAAACACCTCATTATCAATCTTCAGTGCAACAGAGTTATTGAAACGGTATGGGGCAATGCACGCACTCGACGAAATGTGAGTAGGGAAGCCCCGCARGGTGGAGTYCTCTCTCCTCTTCTATAGATTCTGGTCGTTAACGACCTGCTTGACTTGAGGATTATGACTGCCGGGTGATTGTCTATACACATTTATATAGCATTTATGGTCAAAGGAAGGCTCAGAGAATCAAAAAAAGAACACATATTTGAACATTCGATTTTCCACACTCACTTTGAATTCATASCGGATCACATGGATTATGGAGTCGYCAAAMCGAACGTCTGGCGACTCCTTTCATATACCGACGAGGGAGCTGTGGATGGGAAGCAGCCGTTGGAGGAGAGGCGCAGTGAGCTCTTTACGGATGGGTCAAAGCTTGGGGCGTAGATTGATTGAGGGTCTTATTGTCATCWGCTCTCTATCAACTCCCGCTTCAGACTTCATGACTTTTGCTGTGTCTTCTAAGCCGAGGTTGCAGTCTTTAAGGTAGCAGTAGATCTSTTRCTCCGGRTGCAGCCTCCTTCAGAGAAGTGACCATTCACTCWGATAGCAGAGAGGCGATAATAGCCTTGKACTCAATTACAGCGCGTTCAGTGTTGGACAAGGTGTGCCTAAAGTCGCTATCAATATCATCGAGTGTCTTTGTGACGAGACTGTTATGGGTGCCGGGAGGTCAAAACTTAAACACTTGGGAGCAAATACCTTCACACTTCCCCCCACCGAGCTGGCGAACACAGGAGTTCTTCTTATAGCAATCCATGTGTCCTATAATTGCCATTAGCAAATGGATTGAGGACTTTAATTAATCCGATAAGATTCTAGATTCAGATCCTATGAGAGATCAAATATTTCTAAGATTGTGAAAGTTTTTTAGTAAAGATCTTGTTTCTTGTTTGTAATTTTAAACTTCAGAATGTATTGCTGCTGAGAAAATACTTGTCATGAAAGCTGCTTTCGCAAGCTTACTAGTAGGAATGATGCTTTAATTGTCGCCGAAATTTATTGAACCGAAAACACGTCGTCTTTATATAAGGTACCATGCGTTCCCATATATGTACATATATGTACATATATTGAAAAAATCAGTTATTTATATGTATTTTATATGTACATATATGTACATATATTGAAAAAATCAGTTATTTAGCAATTTTATTTATTATAAATGTTCAATGTGAAATGTTGATTGACATTAAAAGTGACAAATAAATATTGATAAAAATCAGTAAATGACATTCAGCCATTGAAATGAAAGTTTCCAGCACTTAATTATCGCCCAAATGCAAACATATCAATTGATGGTTAAATAAATAAGATATATAGACGAACATATGTACATATGTACATATATGTATAAGCGCCGCTGACATTTAAACGCTTGTCTAGGCCATGTCTGATCATTGGAGCGTATATATATATGAGTATAATAATTTACACAAGTGCTTGACTTGAATGGACTTCACGCGTTTAATTATCGATATCTATTCATACATACATACTTACATTATAATAATACAATGTATTGTATTTACATAAAATTACACATATATATACAGAAGTAAATATGTTAGCTCATTTAGCATTTTATTGACGCTCATTCTTGAAGTGTGATGCAACGGCCGCAAAACGGAATTGAGATCAATGCTAAGTGAAGGCTCTAATTGCATTTATTTAGTCGCAATCATCGCATCGAACGCCACRCACCTCCGTAACACCGCACTCACTATTTCACTTCCTTAGTCACATACTATGTACGTATGTACATGCGTATGTGTAGAGCGCTTATCTATATCTTTTAATTAAATTCGCACTCGCTTATGACTTTTGCCAATTGATGGCATTTTTTTGGGGGAAACTTTCCACCGTTTCAATAAAATTTGTATAAAAATTGCAACAAAATAAAATATTTACAAAAATACTTGTGTTTACACATACATGGTTTTGTGTTAGACATACATGGTTTAATGCATAATCATACTGGAACTGACAATACTCTGACTTTAAACAGAAATATTTTACTTTATTGCAAAAACAACAACCCTTAAAAAATTCCCTCTTTTGCAATAAGATGTCTGCAAGCCAACTATCGGTTAAATCATATCTTAATTACCAGGAAGCACTATCAGAATTGGCAAAACTATCCAAAACTACGCAAAGCATTTGCRTACGTGTGTTCGCATATCACACAGTTTGCACAGGGCATATGAGTTCCATGCTTATTCTTTCTTCCCGCCCTTGAAATAAGTACAGCTGTTAATAACAAACTGCGTTTAGCGCTATCTGTTGGCGAATACTTTCGACAAACTTGTTTTGCGGCGTCTGCAACTATCTTAATTCAGCTGATGGTCTAATGCTATTCAAAGTATTGTCTGAAGCATACTTTTGGGCAGTTATGTAGGTTTGCATATCGRAAATCGAACATTTTACTGAAAACAGGTAAGGAAATTCTAAGTTCGGGAGTAACCGAAGATTCTTTTGCAACTTGCCTGGATCAAAGCCGAGGAAATATCTTTAGGTGCATAAGGCTAGTTAGTTATATGCGGTGTATGACTAGTTTTCAGTCGATTTTATAAATTTTAGATACAAAGATAAACTCTTAGTAAAAAAATACGCTCTCACAATTTCATTAAAATAAGGCCCACATTGGAAAATATGTGGGATAGAAAGTCATCCGAAAGTTCGAAAATCTTTATATTAGGTATATAGGGGCTACTAAGGGACGTACTGACTCGACTTAATTCATTTTTGACACAAGGGTACTAAGATGGAAATCAGATTTTCTGCTGCCGCTAACGGTACATGTAGTACTCCATATAGTACATTCCAATTTCGCTKATGTCTGAAATTAATTATTTATTTTAGTATACATATTAATCCCAATAATAATTTACATATTTTAATAACTATTCAAATTGCAGTTATTATATACCTGCAGGCTTCTAATCTATACATACATATCTAATACAAGTGCATTCAGGTGTTTCTTAAAAATTATGTAAGCCAGGTTTTCAGTCTCATTCTTTCAATTGCTTAACTCGTGGTCGAAGACCTAACATATAAACTTTGATTGCTTTGGATTGGTCTTTAATCGCCACCTAAACTTTTTAAATCGACAATTGGTGTGTAATGAGGTGTAGTCATATTTCTCTGTAAGCAGCTAAGTCGTAAGGCTGTATCCAATTCTTACTTTTGCGTACTCGTCGCCACCCTGAAAATGTGAGCAACCATTTTGTGAGATGCGGTAGCCAATCCGTGTGGAGGCTGGGATGACGAATAACAGAGAGGAAGAGAGRAAGCAACAGCGCAGCCACTCCGACATATGTACATATATAGTTTAAGKRATCGCTGAAGTSTAATTGCTGCGTCYGTGTACCAAAGATGCTGGCTGCGAGCGGGCGTCGGTCTTGAAACAAGCGGCGAGAAGCTATAATCACAACTGACAGCTAAATGGCTTTTACTCGACTTGCACTCGTGCTATCTGAGGGCACTCATTAGCAACTYGGCATAAGGGAACTGTGGAACGGAGAGGTCGAAAGAACAGCTGGTACKTTGGCGACTGAAATATCACAGTAGAAAGAAAGCCTACCTCGCATATTAATAGTCTGAACTTGGTAAACCGCAATGCTAATACCTTTGTGTAAGCTGACATTGAGCAAAACCAATAGCTCCGTCAGATACCAAGCGAGATTTCAGGCATTGAAACTGCYTAAATGTGTGATCAATCAATCTAGTTCTGGAAAAAATAATCCCCGSAAAGTTAATACGACTGTGCAAGCTGAAGTCGTAAATAATTTCATCAATCTTAGAAGCAGTAAAAACATCATTCATGCCCTGCAATAATGACATCAGCTGATGAGTCGGTCTTAGGGATGTTCGAGAGAAAGGTTTTTCCTTTGCGCTTTGGCAACGGCGAATAGCGCAGTCGATGGAACGATGAGCTGTACGAGATATATGACGATTTCGGCACAGTCCAGCGAATTAAGAGTCAACGGCTACGCTGGCCAGGCCAATAAAAAAAAAGGACTCCACTCTGTTGGAAAGAATAAGTAGAAAAGGATCTGGTTGCACTTGGTATTTTGAATTGACGCCAAGGAGCGAATAGAAGAAACGACTGGCGCGCTGTTTTTAGTCCAACTATAGCCACGGAAGCGGTGTCTACGCCAGTGAATAAGTAGAAGACATTAGTAGCAAGGAATTGATATTAGAAAACTCGATTGACAAATATTTTAGCTATGTGAGGAGAACACCCTGTGTGCACTACAATGCTTACAAATGCTCTTCGGATATTCGCTTCTCGATCTCCCTTTCTCTCTCATACTTCTCCTTTGGTGTACCTGCAACTTCTTGTTCCGTTATGGTTTCGAATTGCGAATTCACCAACCACAGATCGGCTATGCTTATCGTTAAAGAATTGTCGTAAAATTCAGATTTCGTACCAAGTGAAGTGCGTCGTAAAAGCTCAGCCGACGAACTGCGTCGATATGTCTTCGGCGTTAGTACTTTGGAAACGCGCGGTTTTTCCATATTCCAGAAGGCACGATTGAGGAAGCAAAGCAGTAACCCCGTAACGACTGCCAAAGAAGCTAAGACTGTGATGGGGATTAARTTGTGAAATTGAATTGTAACCGCTACAGAGGGACCAAAGATTAACCAAAAGCGACTATGCGTCACAACAGAGTACATCAAAGTGGCACTTTTCTCGGACGAAACGATTTCGCCGGTACACGTAGCAAGCACGGCGAAAGTAACTGCAGTTGCAAACTTCAAAAACATCCAGAAGATCATTTCGAAACCGACACGGCGACTTGGTTTTACTGGAAATATAGAAAAGCATTATTGGAATGACTTTGTGCCTTATTTCAACAACTCACACGTATTCGGCACGGTCCAGATTAGAAAGGTAACGGCGCCCGCTAAGGTCAACAGCTGACCACACCACAGCCAACGACGTCTGGTGTAGAGTATCAAATAGAGACCAATAAAGATGCCGACCACCTCGGACAGACCTACAAATTTGGTTGTAAATTTAATTTGAAATTACTCCACGTCCTGCAACGTACCTAAGCAAACGGTGTTGACATGTATATACTCCGTGCCCATGGTTCGAATCATCAGGAGCGTGACATTATGCAGAATAATAGCGCCGACCCACGCGATGTGCACGCAGCAGATATACTGACGTTCAATGGTCTTATCCCAAATGGACCAATAGCGAGGTGTTGTAGTGGCTTCTTGTTGTAAGTGCTTCGCTTGATGCGCCAACTTTTCCTCCAGATCTAATGGTATGGATCGATGATTAAGTGTGGCCGAATTTAGTACCTGTTCGAGCGCTTGATCTAATTTATCGCAACTTAGCARCCAGCGTGGCGAATCGGCTATCCATCTGATAAAAGTAAGAAAGTTAGGCGGAAATAGTAAAAGTGGAGAGCTTTTAATCTGGCTGAGTCTTCCAAAGTTATGATAGGTRGAAACGGTGATATGAGAATTGTATGAAAATAAGAAGTGTCTAAACGTCTTCTGAATGCAGAATGTGCTTACCTGTGCACAAATATCAAAATAAGCACCGAAGCCGATATTGCCACATACAAATAACTCCAGCTATCGAAAAATATTGATATGCCCGGCAGCAGTATAAGTCCAATGCCCCAGAATAACTCAGAAAGCGTGGTGACGATGGTTTTCGCACGCCCGTCTGTAATGTCCATTACTAAAGCAGAGCGTAAGTGGCAMATTAAATTCAATGATAGCGAAATGGTTGTAGTTAATTTACATATAACCTGGCCAGCAGACATGATAACGGTACAGGCGATGGAGGTTAAGCAGCGGAAATAAATGTGCAGTTGGAAATTTGTCACCAAGCCAGTAATGCAGCCACAGAAGACTTGGAAAAACATGCCGACAAGCATTAGACGCCGAGGACTCACACTGTAAAATGGATTAGAAAGAAATATAAATAAAGTTTAGTTAAGACTGCACAAAGTTTGCAATAGAAAGGACTATTAAAAAGTGAGTTCGAAGTATTGGGTAGTCAAAAAAGACGTATTTCGTATTTCGTCAACAGAAGTCGTTACAGTCGTATATCTCCAGTGTTACCAATCTCATTGCCATAACATATAGTGTTGGAAAGCTGAGATTTTTTAAGCTTCGTTTAAACAAAAAAAAATTTAATTCGGGGACGTTGAAAAAAAGTTACAGCTGTTAAAAAATGAGTGAAAATAATGAAGAAATACGCAATATTTTGAAATTTTTTTATAAAAAAGGGAAGAAGACACGCAAGCCACCAATGATATTTCGGTTTGCGTAGCACAACAATGGCTCGCTTACTTCCGTACTGAAAATTTCGATGTGAAAGATGCACCTCCTTCAGGTCGACCTATCGTTGAAAAAGTCGATGAAATTATGGAAAAGTTTGACTAGGAGCGTCACATWAGCAGCGATGACATCGCTAAGGAATTTAACATTCATCATYAAACGGTTAACCATTTAAAAAACGCTGGCCTCAAAAATAGTTCGAGCACACATGAATTGTCTGTGAAAAATCTAATAGACCRAATTGACATCTGCGATTCTTTGCTGAATTGAAATAAAATCGAAGCATTTCTGAAGTGAAAATGGTAATGGTATAAATGGTTTGGAACGGAATCATCTACTATGAGCTGCTCCAATCTGGTCGAACGATTGCTTCTACATTTTACTGTCAACAACTGATGAGATTGAAGCAAGCAATCGAAAAAAACGGCCAGAACTGATCAACAGAAAGGGCGTYGTCTTCCATCAGGACAACGCTAGACCACGCACAACTTTGATTACTCGGCAAAAACTGGAATAGCTTGGCTGAGAAGTTTTTATGCATCCAAAATATAGCCCTGACCTTGCACCACCGGACCACCATTTGTTTCGATCAATGCAGAACTCGCTTAATGGAGTGAAGTTGACTTCAAGAGAAGCCTGTGAAAATTACTTGTCCGAGAAACCAGAAAAGTTTTACACTGATGGAATAATGTCTCTAGCGGAAAAATGCCAAAAAATGATCGACAAAAATGGTTCATATTTCGTTCACTAAAGTTCATTATAAATAATAAAAAATAAGTTGAAGTTTGATTAGAAATACGAAAATACTTTTTCGACTGCCCAACATATGCGTTATAGGCTTTTAAATGTATTGATGTCAACAGCGAATTCCTTCCTTTGTTGCAAATAATCATTACTTTAGCAGAATTATGCCTTAATAGTTACACATTCCTTTTGTAAAATTTTTTGCTTGATATTATCAACGAACACAAATAGGTGCTAACAAACGAATATTAGAGTGTCATGAAAAGGGAAAATTTTTAATAATTGCCCGGCAGCGAAATGGACTGAGTGTAAATTGATTGATAACTAAATAATAAGGTCTGCAAGACGGACTACTTTGAATGATGTTATTTTTCATATAAGGAACTGCTATTTTTGCCAGCAAAATGCCAGTTCATAATATAACAAGTTCGTTTAACCAACACATGGCCAAATACGTATAATTTTGCAAACAAACAAATTGAACCAATTTTCCAACCGAGTTATAATCTTTTCCCAATAAATGGCTGCAGCCTGTTACTTTTCTCATTAGTTCGATTGCAAACAGAAATTACTAGTTTTTAACCGTTATTTTTCCACGACAGTTCAATGTTTCGTATTGACATTTGTCACATTTGCATAGCCGGATACCTATGTACTTAGCGCTTGGAATTGCAAGCAGCTAAGTATGTACATATGTTATTACATACATATGTATTTATAAATATACTATTTACACACGCAAAGTCGCTGCGCTAAATAACTGTGAAAATAGAAAATTCTTAAAATAAATCGATCAAAATTCGCACTCAACTGTTTCAGCGCGTGACGCGCCACCAGTCCACCGATGAAGGCGCCCAAACCATGAAATGACTGCGTCATCGATATCAACAATTGACGTGAACACACCAAATCAAACTGCGACACCAACGATTTGTAATCGGAGTTATGCTCGAAATGCTCGCAGGGCAACACATTCACCTTCAACTTCAACGAACCATTCGCCTCACGCACCACATCGGGCTGCTCGAACGGATTCGTATAGTTGGCATGATTGGCGATGAAATCCCGTTGCAAGTGCTCCTCGTAAATATTGCACGCATCCAAATAGAAGCGGCGATCGGTGCCACGTTCGTCGGACACCGGATGTGACACGCGCACCCAGGCGGGCGTGTCGGCCGTCAACGAGCCTCGGCTGAGATTCAAAAGCGCCGGCGGACGACAGTAGTAGTCGCCTTTCTTCGGTGTGGGCGCGGTGTAGATGATGCAAGCCATGAACCAGGCGGAGGGTATTTTGCAAAGAAAGATCAGCAGTATGGTGCGCAGCTGCCAGTGACCGAAGTTGCCGCACACTTGTTGCACGATGTCGGGTGGCGGCGCACTGACTGTGTTTGGCGCTGAGGTTTTGTCGAGTTTTTCTGTTGTTTTTGTTTTCTCACATTTGTTGTTGTTGCTTGTGTCGTTTAGCGCAAAGATCGTAGGAGTAACGGTACAYGCATTTACTGTTTTATTGTTCACTTTTTCTTGCAACTCAAACACCGACATTTTTTAAGTGAAACGTTCCGTTCTTARCTATATGTTATGTTTTCAATTTATCGTTTGACCGATTCGTACGAGTTACTTTCGYTAACTGGACCACACAACTGGTTTGTGATTCAGTTTGTTGGCAAACTTCTACCAATTGCTACGATGGGCCGTACTTTGTGCGCTGAGCTTCTGCGTTCTCTGCGCCGTGGTGACAATTGATTGTGTCCACTCAGTGTTGATACCGATAATTAGTAGTGTCGTCCACCCCAGAAAAAAATTGTGTGAATTGAATCTGTGATGATTTTGTGGAATATAGAATGCGTTGAGCGTAAATTATTGGAAAATTTGCACAATGACAATCGACTTGATTATTATTATATCTTTTCAAGTAAGTAATGGATTACTTACTCAAATACATATATAAATGTTAGGGAGGGTAAATAAAAAAATATATATATATATCTATATACTTATATATGTACATTTATGTGCGAAATCCATTGATGTTTGACGCTGAATATGCCGTAAAYGCTTGACTTAAACGAAAAATTATGAGAGACCATTTTATTGCTGTAACGAGATATTTTTTCAAGTAGTTGGAAGCGMGATTTGAATTTTTCCAACTTATATTATGCAAAAACACTTGTTATGTTTTGAAGAGATGAAGATCCTTAGATGTAGCTAAGAACTATTTATCGATTTCGATGAAAAAAATATAGATTTTTGACCTACCCTAATAAATATTTTTACTATTTGTTGATAAATGACTAAAAAATGTACATATGTRTATACTATATGGTGATATATTTATTATGTGTTAAGCTAATAATGTTTTACGCCTCTTATTTACACTCATGATAACACGATTTGTGGCTTATTCTAGACATGTAAATATGACTATGAAGATTAAATAGTGTTGGATTAGGGTCGGAGAAGAGGTAGATAAGTACTACTATGGGCAAAAAATAGTAAGACTTTGTTCATAATTTTAAAATTCTTGATTTATTTTGCCAATTGATCGTCTGTTTCCGGGTCGTTAGCATAGTTTTAAGACTCATCGTCATTAATAATATGAGTGATTTTGAAACTAATCGAATTTTCACTTTYCTTAGGTCCAAATGATCTTTCAAATGGTTTTCACTGATCCTTGCGATAYTTCAAAGATGACAGTAGGATCTCTGACTGYTAATCGTCGATTCTAAAGCACCAACTTCCTTATTTTCTTTATTTTATTGGCGTCATGATTATCAGTTTATGTTTATGGCTGCCCTGAACGTTGTTCGTCGTCAAAGTGTTCTCGACTCTCTTTAAATAATTTGTACCAATCAAAGACATTTGCTTACGACAAACAATTATCACCGAAGGTCTTTTTCAACTTTCTGAACGTTTCGGCGCCCGAAATTTGATTCGTCATACAAAATGGAATGGAGCTTCTTTGTTGTATAACTTCATTCATCGAAAAAGTCGCCGAATGCACTTTATATACTTCAGAAGGACAAGCGTATACTAAACACTAATGGTAATTTTGATGAAATTGTGTACAGATGCACTGGTAGTCCTACCAACGTAAAAAATTATTCCGACGAATGAGTTTTCGCGCGAAATTTATACGAAAAAGTCTTACTATTTTTTGTCCACAGTAGCATACTGAGAAACTTTCGGTGCTTTACAGATATATTAGATAACTATATTTCTTCTTTACCGGCGTAGATATGGCTTACGTTTCCTTCCTTTCCAGGTGACGTTCTTCTCCACCTGCTACTTCCAAACGGAGTGGAGGCCTTTCTCTCAAACACTCTCAAACACTCCCAAGACCGACTCATCAGATGCTGTCATCGTCCATGCCTCTCCACCATGGACTTTACTTGTCAAGTGCCAACCAGTTAAGAATATACATACATTAAATATTCTATGCAATAATAAATATATTGGAATTTATTTCTATCCATTTCATAGTTTCAGTGGCACACTTACCTGCCGCTTCTACCAAAAAATTAAAAAAAAAAAAATCAAAATACTATATTTTCATAATTTTTAATGATTTATTTTAATTTTCAAGTTTTTTTAAAGATTAAATTAAACGTGAATGCATGCTTTGTTTCCATTATTATTATTATTTTTTTGGCTTTTTATGTTTTGTTTTAAAGTCTAATTGAGATATGCTTTCAAATTTACATAATTTTTAACACCACAGCATTAAAAAAGTTACTAMAAATCGAAAAATTTAGCAAAAAAAAACTCTTACAAACTTTTGGGTAATTTTTAGCAAATYAACTTAAMACAAGTAAGGAAAGGCAATGACTAACTTCGGGTGCAACAGAACATTTTAAACTTGCAAAGAATTAAAGTCAGGAAAATACTTTAAGGTCTAAAAAGGCGAACAGAGAATTGAACTTCGATCAGTTTTAAGTCTATATATAACTTATACAATGACAGACACTTAAGGGTTTTTAGAAAGACGAAAATAATTATATGAAGTACGTGGAACTTGATGTAGCATCGACCTGATTTTATCTATTTTGCCAATATCACATACTATTAGCATGCAAATGTTCCCTGCATTTCATTAAGGTATCTTACTAGTATATAAAATACAATAACCAATCATATAGAGTAAAGTGTGCCGGATGTTCGAAAATCGTGATGTTAGTTGTATGGGGTCTAAGTCATTTTTCCATTCAAATTTTTTTATATTAAGCACATGAATACAGTGCTATAAACGAAGCACCTTCTCTAATTTCCAGTAATATAACTCACATATTGAAGTATATTTGTGGTATAAATTCACATGGAAMTTCAAAAATATATGTACTGGGTATGTGGGGACTAAGGAACASTTGTTGGTCATAAGGTGGCATACTTTAAAGGAATTATTAGTGCAAAGTTTTATCCCGTTATATTAATATGCTTCATGATTTGTGTACCGGAAATTAAAAAAATCAGATGGAATTTAAAATTGTACTATATAGAAGTATTTCGCTCGGTGACATAKGAATGTCAGTATAATGCCACGTACCACGTTGGTTGAAATCGATCGGTCGGGTCGGAAGATCTTATATATGATTTTACCAAAAAGTGCCACCACCATCGTCTGATTCTTACCCGGCTCCCATAACGGGGAGAGAAAAAGGCCATCTCATACCATATCGGGTGTAAAATTTTATGTCTCTGTCGTATTTAGTWACTGATTTAGCGGAGTCCCGATTTTTAAAAAATAAAAATAAAATAAAATGAAATAAGAGCTTTTTGCCACATAATATTTTTGTTGTTTTATTAAATTAATTTTGGTCACTGGTTAGGGCTAGAGAATTGCTATAATTTTTTTTGCTTATTTTATTGCTATAATTTGTTGTTTTTGTAGCCAGTATTTAGCTTASAGTTATACATATGTATATGCACTTATATACAATTTGTGTAAATATGTATAGATACTATATGCACAGGTTCATGCTATTTACAATGAAAGTGCTGGAATTTGCGAAAATATTTTTATTACAATTTTTTCTGCTACCAAATTTTTTGTTATTGGCGTTTGGTTGTAAACACGATATTGTTTTAAATTTCATTTAATTTAATATATGTATGTACAATTTTAATAATTTGTTGTAATTATTAGCGACTAGATATGCGAATAAAATCCATTTTTTATTTGCTACTGATATTTTGTATTTAATATTTTTTAGATAATAAGTTTTTTGTTTAATTATTTTTTATTTAATTTTTTTAATTTTTCYTTTTTTAATTTTATTTTTTTTTATATTAATTATTTAAAATTTATGTGTTTTTCTAAACAACTATTAATAACTAGCGCTAAAGCAATAGGAAACTGTACTCTTTATATACCAAAGTTTATATTACATTGTACATATGTATTTATTGTATTTAATTAATAATATAGTTAAGTTAGTAAATTGCTAGTTTTAATATAGTTTAATTTAATTTAGTATTGTTTTTGCTAGTATACATTAACTTTCAAAATCGTATCTTGTTTTTGTTTTCTAATTTAATTATTTTTTGTTTTTTATATTTAAAGATATTTGTATACATAAGTATGTAAGTGTGTGTTTGTGTTAGCAAGTGCAGCATAGTGCATGCTTAGTGTCGTGTATTTATATATGTTCATAGTGCATAAAATTTATAATTGTATTATAAAATTGCGTTTTTGACGTGGCAACGTCTCATAAAATGCGGCGCTTTATATTTTCAAGTTTTACAAAAGTTTTTCTCAAAGCTTAGTTTAGTAAATGTTTAGTAATCAAATGGGAAATTGGCGCTCCGTTTTCAATATAATTTTTAATTTTTTAAATTTTTTATTCTTAATGTTTATGCCTTTTTGTCAAATATTTATTTTTGTAAAATATGTGTGAATTTAAAAATTAATAATATRTATATGTTTTTTTTTTGAAAACGTCAATTTAGAAATTAATAATATTTTTATTTTGTTTGAAAAAGTCAACRCGTGCATTTTTTATTTGTTTTTACATGCCTATGTAGGTATGTCYATAGTTTTTAAGCTCATATTTAAGCTTAGTTCTTTGGTTGTATTTACAACTACTGGTTTCGTCTTGGTCACTCTAAGTTCTTGTTTTCTAATATTATATTTTTAAGCAATGTAAAAGTGTACGTTGTGGATTTTTTTTGAAAATTTTTAAATTAAATATTAAATTTTATGTAATCAAGATAAAGTACATTTTTAAAAAATTTTTATTAAAAAATGCGTTACAAAATTGTTGTTGTTGTTTGTATAATAAAATAAATTTTATATAATAAAATAGTTTTTCTTTTGAAGAAAAGCTCACGGGCTGTAATTGTTGTTATAGCGTTATTGTTGTTGTCTTAYTGTTAATGAAAATTAAATTTTGTGCTGTTGCCCGCTTGAATAATTGCAAAAGTTACAATTTTTTATAAAATTTTATGTTTTTTTAATTAATTAGTTATTTTTTGTTTTAAGGAAGTACTTTAATTGTGAAGCAAATATGTGTGTATATAGTTTTTTAAACTATTTTATTTATTTATTTTTTAAAAGCGAACTAAATATGAATCAAGCTCGGCTTATAGATATGCATTTTTAGGAATTCATTTTTCACAATTTTTCATTTTGCTATTTTTTAGTAAATAAATTTCGAATAAATTTCTTTTTTCTGTTTTACACTGGAATTTKCAAAGTAAATTTCATATGAAATTAAAAGACTTAAGACACAAACTTTTTGCTGAAAYCATCATACACATTTGTATTGTATGTATTGGGTAGTCGAAAAGGTCTTTTCGTATTTTGTCAATAGATGTCGTTGCAGTCGTATATCTGCTGCCAATCACATTSTGTCATACCGTATAGTGTTTAAGTTTCATTGAACCAAAAATTAATTTGGGAAGTTGAAAAAAGTTACAGCTGTTCAAAAATTAGTGAAAATAATGAAAAAAAATCGCTTTATTTTGAAAATTTTGTTTAAAAAAGGGATTGGCACGCAAATCTCCAATGAAATTTTTGAAGCTTACGGAGACAATGCTGTGTCAGTTCCTTTAACACAACAATGGTTCGTTCGCTTCCGATCTGTAAAATTCAATTTACACTCATGAAAGTTTTACACTRATAGAATAATGTCCTCAGCGGAAAAATTGCAAAAACTGGTCGACAAAATGGTACAATTTGTTTGTTTATTTATTTTTAAAAACATAAAACGTGAAGTCTGATTARAAATTCGAAATGGCGCTTTCGACTGGTTTTTGAAAACATATAAATATGATATTCTAGCCTAGAAAAGACGACTCTAATTTGTTTTTTTTTTTACATTTTCAAAATTTAACTGTTCAGGTATACATACATGCATATGTAAGTCTACTAAAGGATTTTCAAAAATATGTATTTATATGATAAAGAAAATAAATAGAGGGTACTACTAGTCCAAAAATAAAAAAATCTAAATATAAATAAAAATAACTATTCAATAATAAGTCTACTAGAGAATTTTTCAAAAGTTTAATTATTTTCGGAGTTCCCTAGAGGATTTTTCAAAATTGAAATTATCTTCCATAATATAGGTGTTTAGCTGATCCGGTATTAAAACTGGTTCGGCCGGTACAGAAACTATAAATGCGTTTTTGTCGAAACTCTCTTCTTCAAAACGAAAGTCACGGCAGCCCAGATTCTACCGATTTACTTGAAATTTTGAAGCGACTCACGAAGTTCGTGTCATAAGCCTTTTGTTAGAAAATGCTGGAATGCAGTCGAAAATTATGTTTGTTACCTCTTTCGCTTCTAACAATGCATACATTAATTTTATTGTGCAATAATGTGTTGGTGGAAGATTTAGATAGTATATACTTTGGCAAACGGTTTTTATTTCACTTGTTTATAATTTCAATGCATTTACAAAGAAAATATTATATATTCTTAACTTGGTTGGGTGTTTAATCTGCCGCTATATATTTAATTTTCCTGCACTTGGAATTACTKTTCATACATTTTGACTAATTTTGGTTTGGAAAAATTACATTTTTAAAGAAATGGTGCAAAATTAAAGGAGAAGTAATAATTTTGTTATATCTTCAAAGATTTATTTATAAAACTGTTTGTGAATTATGGCTCAATTTGTAATTAGATAAATTGGAAAATAATAAATTCTGGGGTTTTGAAATTAATTAAATTTTGTTTTCGAAATTGCAGTTAAATTTTTGTTTATATCAAAGTGGCTGTTAAACACGTTTTTTGTAATAGGAAAACAAATTTGTAGATTAGGTTGAAATCAAAGCGCAGTTTCAAAAAAATATATGGGCTAACATAGGTAATCCAGGTTTGAAGAGCTAAGTCCACATYTGATTAAAACAGTTTTGAGATGACTGTTAATATATCTGTATGATATGCTGAGGGTACGCTATTTTAATTTTTATAACTCAACAATGATTATTCTTCGTTCCACAACATCTTCAGTGCAGACAATTTCCATAACGTTTGTTAGTATTGGTATACTACATTAAACTTTGCATGACACTGTACTCTTGCTATAATATGCATTACTCATAACAATTCACCAATTACCTTTCTTCATCCCCAGCAATACTAGGTCAAAAGCGCAGACAAACCGCCTACTGATTCAGCAGCGTGTTGGTCACCTCCGAAAAGGAGCATAGCGGATTGCCGTTGGCCATAACATGATCACTAATACCGTTGCTGATAATGCTGCCTTGACTGGTGCCGCCGCCGCCGCCGAGCACGGTTGGACCACCGCTGCCGCTAATCAAATACGTCGCTGTGGCAGCGTTGGGCGCGTAGGCCAGCGCGCTGTGCGACAGCAGATGCGCGGCGTGCTGTTGCGACGAGGTGACGGCGCGCTGCGTTAGATTGTGGTCCAGCCCATTTAATGCTGCTGTTGTTGTGATAGCTTCGCTGGCATGTATGGGCTGCAGAGCGGTGCTTAGCGGCAGCGCACTGTCGCCGTTCATCATCGATGCTGGTGTAATAACTATCGGTGCTATGATTGTCAACTGGTGATGGTGATGGTAGGCAGCAGCAGCAGCAGCAGCAGCGGCGGCGGCGGCGGCAGAGGACACTGTAGCGGTCGTAGCTGAGCTCGAGCTTGGTATGTCTGTGTCGCTGCCATTGCTGCCGCCACCATTCAGGAGCGCAATGTGACCGTTGGCAGCAGCAGAGTTAGTTAACGCTGTTGACCCGCTGGCGGCGGTGGGGGAGTGGCACGTCGGGGATGAGCTGGACGAAGCTGTGGAATTGCAACCGGGTAGTGTTTGCAAATGGTTGGTGTAGCTCAGTTGTTGCAGTTCCAATTGTTCCAATTGTTGCTGCTGCTGTTGTTGGTGGTGGTTGTTGAGCAATACCTATAGTTGTTGGTTTTATATTTTTTGTACATTTTTTCGTGTTTTTTTTTTTGTGATTTAAAAAGGAGGAGGTAAGAAAGTAGCATGGTTAGTAGCTGAGTTCGGTAGTTTGTGGTTCATAACTAATACATACGTACATACATACATATGTAGTATATATACGGTACAAACATATATCTGTCTAAGCAGTGTTTCAAGTGTCACAGTAAAGTTGTAAGCAAATAATACTAGTGATAGTGTGCGTTGGCACCGGTTTTACAACAAAATTTTATAATAATTTTTGTGTAACAACAACAACAACAATAACGATATACAACAAAAACCTACAAATTTGTTTTTCCTTTCATGGCTAAGTGAATATAGTTGAAATGTAAAAAATTTATTTGTTTTTTGTTTTTTTTTTTTACAAACGTGATTTGAGTGCTTGATCTAATTTACATATATACTACAATAAAATGAGGCTAAGTGAAAGCAACATAAAACTGACCGACGGTAAATTATGCAGAGCTAGTGTATACACTTTTTCTCGGCAACAACTGTTTTACTTGTTCTTAAATGTTGTCTGTGTTAATTGTATATAAGTGGTGTTGCTGCAACATTTTTATAGAATATATGGGACAAGCGCATATATTTGAAAAAACATGTTTATTGATTTTATTTTGGTAGGTGAGTAAAATTGTGAAATTTGTTCAAAAAATTTTCGCAACATCTGGCTAGCAACATTTCGACGCAACCCATAAAGTTTTGCTTAAAATAATTGACAGTGCTATTTCTCGTATAAACTGTTAATAGTATTATTATTATACTAATAAAGTATTGCTATGAATTTTTTATATGCAACAGCCGCCAGCCCTTGTTGTGTAGCAAAAATGTGTACGAAATGTTTTGCATTTCTTATTATTAGAACAAATTTGCAACATTGCTGGATATGTTACAAGGTAAAATTCACAAGCAAATAAAAAATCAAAATATATCGCAAATGAGTTTTATCTATCACCCACAAAATAGTCAGCAACATGTTGCCAGCCACATTTTTCATCAATCCTTGATCTCATATTCAGAAAAAAATGTATTACTTGTTGCTCTCATAAATGGTTAAATTCTTCCAATATTAGGTATTGTGCAGCTACATGTTGCTGGCAACATTTTTAACCTTAGCAACAAGTTGCTGGATTTATTTTTTTGTGTGAAAAGAAACAATATTTGTTTTTTTTATATTTATAATTTTTAGCAACATGTTTCTAGAATATTTTCGGTTCACGTCATAAAGACAAAAATTTACGCAGTAAAACATATTTTATTAAAGCTCTAACGAAACATTGCAAATTACCCATACAAATTAACAAAAAAGTGACAATATTATGTTGCTTAACCAAGCCTCTTTGTCTGCAAACTACTTTTACAAAAAAACACATTACATAATTTGTGTATCTTCTATTAACTTGGCTCACAGAGCGCCTCCTACATGCTGCGTAGCAGCTGCAGCCGTCACAATATGTGAGCCATTATGTGCAGTGCTGGAAGGAGAAGAAGAAGAAGAAGCAGAATTTGCAGTGCTGATTGTGTTGTTGTTGGTGGCATGGTGATGGTGGTGATGGTGATAAGTGAAATACGAATGCGAGTATTGTGGGTACGCAGGACTCCATACCTCACTACCGTTCGCCGCTACATGAGCAGCGTGGGCATGCGCGTGCGCGTGATGATGAGCATGGTGATGAGGATGAGTGTGCGCATGCGCCACATGTGCATGGGAATGCGGGTGCGCGTGCGCGTGCGCGTGAGAATGATGATGAGCATGGTGATGTGCTGCCGCCGCCGCTGCGTGCTGTGACTGTGCATGTTGATGTGCAGCTGAGGCAGCTGCCGCCGCCGCTGCTACAGCGGCTGCTGTTGTTGGTGTCGCGCCGATATCTGACGGCGCTAAGCGCGTTGAGTGCAATGGCAGATTGTTGGCAGAAGCAGTGGTCGGGGTGCTCATATCACTGGCGCTTGCGTGTTGCATGTGTGTGTGCAAGTGCTGCTGCTGCTGCTGCGTATGTGGGTGCGTCAAATGTGTGGCAGTGGTATTGGAGAGCTGTTGGTCAGCCACCGAATTGCCGCTGGGGCGTTGCGTCAATTGCTGTTGCGTTGCGGGCGCTACCTGTTGTTGTTGCTGCTGTTGCGGTGAGGTGGTGTGAGAGGAAGAGGAATACAGCCCCGAATCATCGTGCTGCAGTTGATAACTGTCCGGTGTGGCAGCGTTCTTGACATCCTTCACGGTGGCACTGCCATTCCATTTGGCACTTACCACTTCATTTTCGTTGTTGTTGTTATTGTTGTTAGCGTAACTAAGTCCATTGGTCAGCGGGGTAGCCTGAGGCGAACGTTCAGCATTGCTGTGATGACGTCTACTGCTGCCGCCGCCAATGCTATTAATGGGAATGCCGCTGGATTGTGATCCCCACATGAGCACAGTTTGTCGCTCATATGGATCGTGCTGTGTCGCGCTCAGTTCTACTTTTGGCGTAGCGCTGCCACCGCTACCGCTGCCTCCATTCACCGTTATATTTGTGTTGTTGCCCACTCTGGCGGCATGCGCAGCAGCAGCAGCGGCGGCGGCGGCAGCACTCCCATCTATCGGCGACGGTCCGTCCGATGAGCATGACACCACCTCCATGATGTGCGGCGAGGATTTCGGCGTCTTCAGCGGAACTTGCTACAACGAATCGTGCAACACATTGTTGTTGTGAGCGTGAAAATGGCCGCCAAAGTAGCACGGACTCACCTGTGGCGTCGATGTAGGACTGCCATACCCACTACTATAGCCGCTATAGTATTTCCCCGTTTCCTGCCACTTGTCATCTTTGGGCGCAATCGTATAGCCATCATAGGGCAGAAAACCGTTCACATAGGCAGAAGCAGGCGCACCCGTGTGATGATAGTCCGTGTAGTAGCTGCTAACACCCTGCAGCCGATACTGATGGAAGAGATTTTCGGTCACCGGATAGAAATTGGTCGAGTGCACTGAGGTGCCCATGTAGATGTTATCCGCAGCGGTTGCATAGGGCGAGGTGGTATACATGGGATTGAGATTTGAATAGGCGGCGGCGACAGCCACAGCGGGATCAGGCAGATACTCAACTACCGGCGCTGGTGAGGTGACCTGTAAAAGCAACTTTCGAAACAGTCACTTTGACTTTATTTGAAAGGCGGCGCACTTACCTGTCCTAGTGAAGACGTCTGTTGTGGTTGTTGTTGTTGCATCTTACGTTTGGTGCGACAAGTGGAGAGGAAGTCACGCAATTGCGTTTTATAGCGTCGATTTGGCCGCGTCGGTGTCACTGGTGGTGGCAACGCATTCGGTGAGGTGCTTGGTGGCACCACCAATTGATCGGCCTCTGAGAAATAAGTGGACGCGAGACCGGTGTCCAAGTAGCTCACTTTGAAGTCCATTGTACGCTTGCCAAGCAGGTCGTGCCCCTCCTCATCCATCAGCTGACGATGTGTGCAGATCACAAAGTCGGGTTTGGAGTTTTTGTATACCAATCGCGAGCTAAAAGGGAATGTATGAAGCTCGTTAATGACTTTTTTCAATTATTTGCCTCTAAATTAAAGCAAAAGAGTCAAGACTTCCTAATCTTTTTGGTTTTATAAGAAGTWAATTAGTTTCTCATGCGMCATAATTGAAAASCCGATTGAGGYTCTCCTAGTTTTTTCTCTCTCTACCAATATATCTCGCTATCTCTTACTATGTCTGTCYCTCACGATGATCTTTTGTTTTCATGGAAATTTAAAAAAAGCTTTGGTCGCAATTCCTTTTTTATGGAACTCTTTTGAAAACCCTTTATACTGATAACACAAGCCACTCTATAATAAGACACCTGAAAGGAAAATATGAAAAAATATATAATGAACACTAACCTCGTCTGCAGCCACTGCCATTCGCCATTCTTCTTCTGATACCGATAAGCGATCATGCCCGAAGCGCCAGTTTTCAGTACTAAAAATTTTAAAATTTTATTTTTTTATGCAAAATGCCGGCACTTCACAGACTGTGGTACTCACATTCCTGATGCGCACTGGCCACGTAGGCCAAGTCGTCGTAGTGCACCAAATCATAGCCGCCCATATTGACTAGTTCCGCATCGGAGTAACCCAAGACATGTTTACCACTGTAATTACAACAAAAACAACAATACAACATTAGTTTCTTAAAAGCTCAAAATTCACACCTTACTCACCGCTGATCCATGGAGACAAGTGAGAAGTCCAACTTATGCTTCGACTTGAACATATTCTCCTTGTGCGGTATCTCTAGCAGACTGGGCGGTCCGAAGGGTGTACAATAGGCGAATAACGCCAGTGGTGGCTCTTCGGTTTTACGGTTTTGGCCATGCAGTATCTTGATGCGTCCACGTATGTCCAGTCGCAGGAAGCCGGAAGTGTTATCGAGCAGGCAGCGAAAACGCACGGTGAAGCTACGCTCCAAGTAGAGCGCCTTGTCGGGCGCCAATGTGTCGGCCAGCTGTATGGTAGACATGTCGGCGGGAAGAAATGAGTTCCACAATAGTTGTCGCTGCAGCTCCTCACGATCCTCTGAATGGACTAGTTCGTAGACGGACTGATGCACGATGTCTGACTGGAAGTAGTGTGAAAGCGAAAGAAGAAGAAAAGACATTCAAAAAAGCAAGTCAAGTGTTAATACATCAGGGGTCACTAGTTGTGTTTCTTAATTTGACACCGTTTTAGATTCTACTGTTAATTATTTGCTTTGCTTTGGTTCTTTGTTTTGCTTATTGATTTCTTTATGGCGCAACGATTAATAAATCATGAAGCAGACAAATTGAAAACTCAGTTGCGCGTGCGTAAGTCTGAGTTGGCAATACATGCAGCTATTTTGTCCTTTTAGTTGGAATATTTGTTTTTGTTTTGRTGCAGTAAGAAAGCGGCAAATTGAGATATATCTATAAACATGATTTTGTTTTYCGCACATCTTTTTGTGTTTACGGTATTTCTGCTCCGTGGCATAMCTTTTGAGGTGGAGCCCCTTCGACGATGGTTTCGCGTTAAACACAATGCAAGAAATTATTGRTCGAGTAGATAATTTTGAAATCATTCTTATAGCTAGAAAGGCAATATAATTTTTTGGGGTGGTTCTAACTTTTGATTTCACCAATCGGTTCTTTTATATAATTGCTTCGAATTTTACAGCGAAGAACCTCAGTGATATATTTTTTTTTTTGTTCGCTCAGCGTGTGGGCCACAACAAAGGAGTAACTTAAATTTCCAACATCAAGGGAAAAATAGCGATATATATTACATCAGTTTCTTCACGGATTTTCAGCCTTAGGCCAACTTTCACGAGCTTTATRTTTTTGGTTCACAAGACCTTTTCTGCAGACCTGATCAATAGGTGCAAATTTTGCTGATGCAACCATTATTGAATTCTCTAAAAGTCATCTTAAACACAGAGATTGTTTCATATTGAACGAGCTTCACTCTAACCACTGTCGGAAAGAAGTTTTGTCGTCTAAGCAGAGTCAATGGAAGAACCGAAAACGTGCACTCACTGTACGCCGTCGAACTGACTTATGAAACAATGTGAGACTTGGCAGTGCAACACCGCCTTGACTTTTTTTTGGCAAATAGCTGCTGCTTGAAACCAAAACAACAACAATAAGACATGGTCAGACTAAACGACAGCACCGACCCGATCGAAMGACTATAAATAAAAATCAGATCAGCGGGTGGATTGCGCAATCGAATWGTGCAGCGAGAACAACAAAAACAAGAGCCAAATGGAAGCACAATAAGGGAACGAGAAAAGCGAAATGTAAAAGCAACAAAGGCACAGTAACAACACAACATCGGGCAGATGCAATCGATTGCTGGCTCAGCGGTTATACTCAAGTGTGTGCTGGTATATGTATATACTAGATAGATATGTTCGTCTGTATGTTTGCTTGTACGAGTATTTGCTTGTTTGTTATTATTGCCTTTGAATGGCGTTAAAACGRACGCATTTGCGGATTCTTTTTGCTAGCAGCGATCAAATTGAATCGAACTGCAGAATCAAATTGAATTGTATGCGGTAATAGTGCTGTACGTATGTGTGTGTGGCGGGGATTCCGGCGAAACCAGCCACTTACTGCCGTTCGCCTTTTAAGCTGTGCAAATGTTGGTTTGGCGGCGTTGCGCATGCGCCTGGCGCTGTTCTTCTTGGCGGGAACAGCTTGTGGYAGGTGGGCTGTATTTGTTTGTTCTCCGCTTATGGCACATATAGATATATGAAAGCGGAGGCAAAAATTCATATGCTTACATACAAACATCGGAATACAAGTGTTTTGCCTCAGCGTTGTTGGCAAGAGCCACACTTTGTGGTTGCTGTGATTTCTTCTGTTGTACTTTTTTTGCGAATGCATTTGTAGCAGACAACTGGCTTAACTGTTGTGGTAAAAGAGCTGTAAAAAAATTTGCAAAAACAAAAACAAAAAATGTTGCTACATGATTTGGGTTGCAACATATTTACTAAGCTGCCCGCACTGCCACTTTCTGACAACAATATCTCGTTGCAATTCAATTGTTAAAACAATATTTGTATTGTGCCCGCGCATACAACAACAAACACCGCGCACATGCGTGCACTTCAGTTTGGTTGAGTGTTTGTACAATTTTTAATTTAGTTGTAAATGTGTAAATCGACACTTGGTCCGCCCATTTTGGCATCTCAATTAAAAATTAAAACTTCGACTGTATATGTTGCAGCTGAACGCTTGATTTTCAGATCTTTTTTTGTTATAATATGTACATACATATATGCATTATACGTATCGGAGTGCAATCACAAAATAAAAAAATTAAAATTCAGAAATWAAATACTGAAAAAAGAATTTTGGAATATACTTTTAAAAGTTTTAGGTTTTGTTTTTTTGAAATTTTGCTTGAAAATTTAATTTTTTTTCAAAACATATTTTAAAATTAAAAAAAAAAAATATTTTTAAACATTATATAAAAATTTGAAATTTTTTTTAACATATGTCTATTTTTTAATTTTTTAGAAATATTTTAGAAATTTTAAATATAATTCCAAATTTTTTTTGTAACTTTTTTTGTGAAAGTTAAAAACTCTGTACTGAGTATAATTCTAGCGCTATCTCTTTTTCTCTGTGAATACCAAAGAAATGTCTCTGAAGCTCTATGAAAATAGAGAGATGCTAAGAAGTCCYAGATCTTTTTAAGATCATAACGGGATTTTCAATAAGGGCGCTACCAAAGTAAACCGATAGCGACCGCAAACGACGCCATATTTTTTCCTCCCACTTTTGAAATATATCTCAGTAAAGTTTGCAATTTCATAATTTCATCATTAAAGGATATACGAAATTAGTATATCGAAATTATTAAAATTTACAAACGAAATTCGGAGGCAGGTGCCTCAACTTTAAGACCGCTACGTTCAATTAATGGTCGTCATAATCGTCCTGTCAGACTAAAAATTGAGCGTCTAGTGGGAAAATTTTAATCCACAAGTACAGAACAAAATGTTTCCGTGGAAATGAGACAAAGAAGTGCCAGCAGTGTCGAGAATTGAGGAAAACACAAATCAGTCTCTCAAACGTCGTTGTCTAGCGTTAGGCATCTCCTTGACATCGTTGCAGATAATTTTGCRAAAGGATCTTGGCCCACATGTTTATAAGACCAAATTGACGCAATAATTGAAGCCGCTTGACYACCAGAATCGTCATATATTCGTGAACTGGTCCGATTAACAACTTAAAATTGATCCGCATGTTCATTCATTGATCATGTCAAATCAAGTCTATGGYCTATGCCAACAAGKCAGCGATGATTGATGCACTTCTTATGAATATCGAACGTGAAATTGCAGCGTTATTGACCTATTTATGCTTGAAAATCGTCCAAAATTTGGTTCAGCGTCTGGACTTCTGCAAGGTGCCTGTGGTCCCGTGGTGGCCATGCAAAAGAAACCGAGTTGGCATCGAATGTACTTTCACAGGAATAAGAGTTTTATTGAAATCTCAAACCGTTTCTGTTTTATTTTGTTGCGCGCTTATTGAAAACCCCGTTATATTGGAGAAGGAAAGCTTAAGCAAAAACAGCTGTAAGACTAATTTCCATGCTTCAACTATACAAACAAATAAGCGATTTGCGAAATCGATTTACGGAGCTGAAACTATATTGCCTATCGGTTAAAACGTTTGTAAGACTTTGTATTTCAAATTTAGAAGACTGGGATATTACTTTTCAAGCAGTTACATGTCTTTTCAACCGAACCTAAGCTAATTTTCCATTCAGACAATCAAAAGCCGCAAGCGAAATGACTTCCTCAACACGTGTTGGGAGATTAATGAGCACACATACATGCATATACATATACACACAAATATGTATATATATGCACACATATTTTTTTTTTTAAGTAGTGGTATCTATATATTCAATATAGTCACACATACATACACATACATGCTKATTATAAAATTCTTATTGTGTTTCCATTCAAAAACAGAAAAGCGCCAACAACAACAAGCCGAAATTGTTGGCATTCAAGTGTAATTATCCACAAATCAAAGACGGTAGCGCATTTGATAATCACCAGCAATTAGAGATTTTGAAAAGAGGAAAAATGTTAATTATATGGACGGACGTGAGGTAGCTGTGTTACAAGTGCGTGCGAAGTAATGTCAGGTTGTTGCAACRCACCATGGGTTTCATTCACAAAAATGCCACAATGCATAAAACAAAAACAATATCAAAAAAATAATGGAAATAAAAAACGATTCAATCAAATCAATAAGAAAGAAATACCAAATAACTATTTAATCGATTTGAGAGTAAAAAGGAAATATTGAAATCTTTCACTTGTGAATGTAAAAAGCGGTCAGTGGTTTGGTTATTGTTTTATATTTGTATATATTTTTTTAATTTCAAGTTTTTTCTTATCAAAAATGTCGATTTATTTCGTGCTCAGGTAACTGTGCGTACTTTTGTTGTTGTGTTCGCTCACCTGATGAAAACCCAAATAGCTCTCGATGCTGTGCGTGGCAAAGAAGACCTCGCCTTCGCATGTCAGAATCATTAGAAATCCATTTAAGGCCTGCAAGAGAAAGCAAAAATGTAGAATAAATCAACAAAATATGTGTAAGTATGTAAGTATGTATGTGTATAGTAAGTTTTAATTGTAATACAACTGATAGTGGAAGAATGTTTTGATAAGTTTGATGTAGTTAATTGCTAAAAATGTTGATTTTTATATATTTTTGGAGCTTGACGATATGACGATGTAAAATTGGAGTCAGTTGTGACAAAAGTAGACTGCCAGCTGCTTCCATATTATTTTTGGGTTATTAATATTAAAAAAATATATATATATATTATAAGCACATAAAACAAAAATATGTCATGCACGGTAATGAACCTTAAAAGTCTCACTCTTCCTTGAATACTCATTTTGGTAACAGAAAACCTAGAACCATTTCCATAAAATATACAATCTTCCAGCTTCCAGAGCCACAAAAAAAAGACATAAAGTTAAATATCGAACAAAGGAATATAATTTATATTGGACACAGAGGGTGAATGGTCAGTTAATCAACAATAAATAAGCGATCTTCATAATTGTCTATAGTTTTCGAAGAGTCGAAGAATTTTCAGACAAATTTCATGAATCTCATCTCTCAGTATGACTTATTCAACAAATGCTTGTCCCAATCGAAGTTTAAAGTAATAATGCAGCAAGGGGTGGCTTGTTTCATTTGTAATTTGGTACCTGTAAGAAACGCAAGGAAGCCTAGCAGTCTCTTCAGAATGATTGGCACGATTCGCATACTAAATGCGGTGATTGTGCCTTTTTGAGTTCAACCTGAGACACAATTGCGTCTTATCGCTATGTACCGTAAGTTTACGGTACGAAACGTGAGTTTTTTAAGGTTATGTTATGATGCGAAATTTATAAAACATTATTTCTGATCAACTGAAATGTATTTAAGAAATAGCAACAGACATTTCATTTGATACCAAGCGCTTCAAACTCTAAACCATTCGGTGATGGTTTKTAAAGTAGTCAAAGGTGGAAGAAMGAAAACAAAATAACTAATGTAAAASCAGCGCATATTTTCTTATAGATTGTTTTATAGGATTTCCAAACTTCTCTCTCTATGATATATAATACGATGTATAGTACAATTGTAAATTCGAAGAAACCCATCTTTATGAAATATATTAAACTTTGAAGATTTGTGATTCTGACGTGAGTCTCCGAATACCTTTGATTAAGCTTAATATTCCACGCAACTATTCTTWTTGATTTTGGCAAAGAACAGAGAAAAGCCGCCATTTTTAATTACAATTAAAGCTTATTACAACAAAAATAAATCATAAAAAAAAAGAATTATAAAACGACAAACAGGTATAACCACCCAAACAAAAAAAGTCTCACTTTTTGACGCACAAAAGACAGAATAATTGCCGCCAAGAAACCAAAAAAACCACAGCGTCAAAGTGATCGCCACCGAGCCGTTCGCTACCGGCAAGTGGTGCAGCAGCAAATCACAACACCCATACTCTTATACGAGTATTTATTCATGTTGTCATTGCCGCCATTGATGGTTGTAATAAAAATATTAATCCGTCATTTGTTCATACGCAAAGCAAAAAGAAACGAAAGAAGTGAGTAAAGAAATGCTGAATGAATGAAAGAGAGGCTTAAGCGCCACAGGCTCATCAAGATCGACGGTGAAAAGCCAAGCGTCTACAAACAATATACTTCTCGACTTATATATGTATATACATAAATATGGATATGTGTACATATTTATTAGTAGAGAGAACCCACAGAGGTCTAGATCAAACGGGGAAACCAGGAAATGGCAAGCAATTAAAGCAATGAGCWCCACTACATATGTCGGAGTGGAAGCTGCGCTCGAAATACCTGATATTTTGTAYTGACTTTGATGAAGGCAGAGGCTTTGTGGTTGTATGTAGACGTGGCTTTGCTTGTCATACCAATTCTGAGCATTTTCTGTTTATGCGTTTTATACACACAAACTCGGCGGTACTTTGGCACTTACACAGATTTTGAGACAAATACACAATTTGTAACCGAAACCAACGCTTTTATATGTATATTTCCAAGACTTGATTGATCTATTACATTATTTAATTTATCCCGTGCGGTTTCATTCATAATTTTGTTGGCTCAAAGCACGAAAGAGTTTCGTATTTTCGCCCTTTTTTGTTTTTTGTTTTTGTTCAGTGTAATTGTTTGCCGAAGATGGCTTGCATGTTAGAGGTAGTGAAATCTGACAATTTCCTGTGAGTTGTGAAATATGGAGTAAAATGAAAGTGTACCGAAAATAGTGCAGCAGTTTTATTTTTAAGAATAATGGGCCTCTATATTTTTATATTTTATTCGAAAAAACGATTTTTGGAAGAAATCTCCTTGAAAAGTACCTCCATGCGCATCTTGGTTATAAATAATTAAACAAAAAACAAAAAAAAAACATAATAAAACAAAA